AGTGTACGTGAGGACTTAACAAGTTTTGATCAATGGCTGTTAACCCTATCCATTCCAAATTCCAAAACACATTGAAAACCCGCTTTAACAAACACCAAACAGCATGTTTTTTTTTTCGAAATCATACGCATTATTAATCTTTAAGGCCTACAAAGAACAGTATAAAGAACCATATACAAAACAATAAGAAAGAACCATCCAGTAACAAAAAGAACTAAAGTAAGAGAAGAAAATCTCCAGTGTTACCAGTCAACCAATGAGCAAATAAATACAACAAAATTGTGGTGATATTATGCAGCAAAGTCATACACCAAACAACATGTTACTGCACAAAGGAAATGCATGTTGAAGCATGACCATGCATCTGCCTACTGTTACAAAAAAAATGCGCCCTTGGCAGGGGTGGACTGACCATTTGGAAACTCGGGGTCAGTAGCGGGCCCCATGAGATGCCCCTGGTACCTTTTTCATAGGCTTTTTTGAGTTTGGGCAAAGGACATATGAGCCCCATGATCCCCTATTGCCCGGGGGCCCCATGAGTTGTCAGTCCGCTCCTGGCCCTTGGCATACATTCACACCTGAGCAGAGCGTATTCCTGGTGATTTGGAAGTATTTCTTTCAGGTGTTTTACAAGATTTTTGCACATGTATCAGGCTTCAGGTGTTTGTTTTCTGGACTGGGCAAGGGGAGAAGAGCAATTCTTCAGGCATAAAAACGTGCAGGAAAGCGCACATATCACGCTTTTACAGCTGCTTCCAATTCAATTCTATGGGGCTAAAAATGCCTGAATACACTAGGAAGAACTCATGTACTTTTTTTTGAGTGTAGGGTGTACAGCATAGTGCGACTGAGCATACAAGTGAGAACATGGCCGACTAGACAGAAAGGGGTTCTGCATGTTGAACATAGTCAGGTGTAGTCAGTGTAAATAGGGCTCAGTGATGGATTAATCACTTGCTGATTGGTCAGTGTGCTCTCACATTTCTGTGTGTGTATATGTGGAGGTGGGGGGCTCAATATTTTTTTCGGGGGGGGGGGGGGTTATGTGATTGGGTGTAACTTTAATTTTTACAATTTTAAACAAATTTTTTAACTCAGCTTTTTTTTTTCATCAGATAGGAGACAAAATGTCCCCTATGTGATCATTTTTGGTGACAGGCTCTCTTTATTGAGACATCCAGGATTTAAAAGGGTCTCTCCTGTACTCCACTGGATGTAATGCAGTGCACATTGCACCGCATTTCATTTTTTTCTCAGCCTCAATTGTCGGGAAATCTTCCAACAGGTATCCGGAAGTGATGTCATAACGTCACTTCCGGATCAGGACAAAAAGGGGAGGGGAGCAAGTTTCCACTCTCCTCCCTCCTCTCTACCCACTGGCATTCTGAACAGGTCCCGGGCCCACAGATGGGCAAGCAGAGCCCAGAAGACAGCGGGCAAGATAGACGTTTATAGATGGGGGGGCAGGTGGCGGAGGAGGCTAGAACTGTAGGGGGCTGTGTGGAAGAAATCGGCGGCAGCGCTGCCAACCGAATGCTTCCACCTGACAGGTGAGCCGTGCTGCTTGCCTACAGCAGGGCTAAGAGTTAAAAGAAACGACCTGCCCAGCGTCGGGCAATACAAATTGAACATCCCTGTATGTTTGTCTATGTGCATTGTGGATGCATTGTAAATACCAAAAGGATGCAGTTGGGTTGTCTGTATACTATCAATGTGCTAACCTTTGTGAATATCCTTTAGTAAATCATGATCACTATATACTGGCAGCTTTGTAAGTAAGGGCTCGTTCACACTAGCAGTGCTCTCTGAAGGGTAATCCATGTTCAGATCAGGTCAGAGAGCATCTGACAGGCGGTGAGGAGAAGTTGAATGATCAATAATACAGCACAAACAATAATTATAAATGAGAAAAGGTCAAAAGTCAAAATCAAACAGTGCTTCAGTGAAAAAAAATTCTGTTATATCCAAACCAAAAGTGTTCTGTAAATGGTGTCACCCCACAGTGCTTCACGATCACCACCTAATACACTCCACACTCACCAGATTCATTGGACTCCTATCTCCTATGGCATAAGAGTCAAAAAGGCTAACACTGGTGAAGTGTGTTCTCAGGTATAGCCAGATAGATAAACCCAGATTCTATATACTTCTTCAATACGTGAACATGATCCTCATGCATGCAGGAAAGTTGTAAAAACAAAGAGGAACACACATAGTGTAACTCTGTAATACTCTTTTATTAAGCAACAATAAAATGTATATTGCATTCACATGTGTTAAAAAATTTGAAAGCTTTTTTGTAAAGGTAATGTTTACCCACATCAGTGGGCACAGAAAATGGCTCCGGAGCACTGCACACAGTATGCGCTCCACTCACTGGACGTGACGTCACAAAGGTTGGACCAGAAATTACATTGACGCGTTTCGCCCCTCCTCCAGGGAATTGAGGAGAAGTTGCATCACCTCCTCACTACCTGCTTTTAGTTCTCAATCATCACACGCCGCAACTACGTGCACTGCACATGTTTGTGGGGCACTCACTTGAATGGGTCTTGTTTGGTAGGCATTATGCCCACCAAATAAGAAGGTAGGTACAACTCCTACCGCTGCCCTGTTGTTAAAGGGGGTTACAACTAGGGAGTGGTAGAAGCATGGCTCAATTGCAAGGTTTTTTTGCCCCCCCCAACCTCAAATGTAAATGAGCCCTTATAGTGTTACTATACCCAGGACCCTGCATTCACTCTATCTCAGGGGTCCTCAGACTTTTTAAACAGGGGGCCAGTTCACTGTCCCTCAGACCGTTGGAGGGCCGGACTATAGTTTAAAAAAAAAACAAAAAAAACCTATGAACAAATGCGGACACAGTACAGGAGATGACCAAAGACTGCGGACATAGTACATGAGATGACCAGGGGACTACAGACACAGTACAGAGATGACCAGGACTGCGGACAGTACAGGAGATGACCAGAGACTGCAGACATAGTACAGGAGATGACCAGAGACTGCGGACACAGTACAGGAGATGACCAGAGACTGCGGACACAGTACAGGAGATGATCAGAGACTGCGGACACAGTACAGGAGATGACCAGAGACTGCGGACACAGTACAGGAGATGACCAGAGACGGCGGACACAGTACAGGAGATGGAGATACAGTGCAGGGGATGACCAGAGACTGCTGACACAGTACAGGAGATGACCAGAGACTGCGGACATAGTACATGACATGACCAGAGACTGCGGACACCGTACAGGAGATGACCAGAGACTGCGGACATAGTACATGAGATGACCAGAGACTGCGGACACAGTACAGGAGATGACCAGAGACTGCGGACATAGTACATGAGATGACCAGAGACTGCGGCATAACTGGCGGCGGGAATACTGGGCCCCGCTCCATAAGACGGACATTTCCCCCAAGTGTGTCTTATGGAGCAAAATAGTGCCCCATCATTGGTGTCAGTGGGGGGAATAGTGCCCTATCATTGGTGTCAGTGGGGGGAATAGTGCCCCATCATTGGTGTCAGTGGGAGGAATAGTGCCCCATCATTGGTGTCAGTGGGAGGAATAGTGCTCCATCATTGGTGTCAGTGGGAAGAATCATGCCCCGTCATTAGTGTCAGTGGGAGGAATAGTGCCCCATCATTGGTGTCAGTGGGAAGAAATGTGCCCCATCATTGGTGTCAGTGGGAAGAAATGTGCCCCATTATTGGTGTCAGTGGGAGGAATAGTGCCCCATCATTGGTGTCAGTGGGAAGAATCGTGCCCCATCATTGGTGTCAGTGGGAGGAATAGTGCCTCATCATTGGTGTCAGTGGGAGGAATAGTGCCCCATCATTGGTGTCAGTGGGAGGAATAGTGCCCCATCATTAGTGTCAGTGGAGGGGAGGAATAGTGCCCCATTGTTGGTGTCAGTGGGGGGAGGAATAGTGCCCCATCGTTGGTGTCAGTGTGTGGGGGGGGGGGAATAGTGCCCCGTCATTGGTGTCAGTGGGGGAAGGGGATAGTGTCCCAACATTGGTGTCAGCGGGAGGAATAGTGCCCCATAATTGGTGTCAGTGGGAGGAATAGTGCCCCATCATTGGTGTCAGTGGGAGGAATAGTGTCCCATCATTGGTGTCAGTGGGAAGAATAGTGCCGCATCTTTGGTGTCAATGGGGGAAGGAATAGTGTTTCATCGTTGGTGTCAGTGGGGGGGAAGGAATAGTGTTCCTCATTGGGGGGGGGAGGAATAGTGCCTCATTGTTGGTGGGGGAGGAATAGTGCCCCATCATTGGTGTCAGTGGGGGGGGGGAGGAATAGTGCCCCATCATTGGTGTAAGTGGGAGGAATAATGCCCCATCATTGTTGTCAGTGGGAGGATTAATGCCCCATCATTAGTATCAGTGACACCATTCCTCCCACTGACACCAATGACACTTAACTTGCTGACCCCTGCTCCAGCATGGTGCTGCTGCAGCCAGCATACCTGGTTGCAGCAGCACCATCTGCACGGCACACTTACCTGTCAGCTGTCCTTCTTCACTCCGGCCTCTCCCTCACTCGATGTTCGCGTTTGGGGGGCCGCTTGGCTCCGCCTCCTCACAGGTGATTGGCCGCCTTTGTGCCTTTCCTGAGCTACAGTTCTGGTGCCCAATCACCGGTGAGGAGGCGGAGCCGAGCGGCAGGAGTGAGGGAGCGGCTGGAGTAAATGAAGGAGCAGCGCTTCCTGGACTGGATCATCGTGGGACTGGGACCGGAGCCAGGTAAGGTACAGCAGCCCCCTGCCCGCCCCTGTACTTAGTGTCCCTTACTCGTGGAAAATACACACCTGTCGGCGGGCCAGATAAATGGCCTCGGCGGGCTGCATGTAGCCCGCAGGCCGTAGTTTGAGGACCCCTGCTCTATCTGGTCTCCCACAATACAGAGAACATGGAAGTGCAATTATTTTAGTAGATATAAACTGCTAAATACCTTTTCTCATCAGCACTTAGAGCAGTCTTGTGACTTCAGCAGAGCACTGGTTAAAGCTTGTAAGAGGAGTTTTCATTTTGCTCTAGGAGGATTCAGAACCCCTGGCCTCTGTCTGGACAGTGCTGATTGACCCTGTGCTGATCACATGCACTCTCCCAAGAAAAAAAAAACCCTCTCTAGCAATACACACCAAACTGAGCATGTGCAGAGTGTGTCCACACGATATGTCTTATCAGGAGATAAGAGGGGGTCACTGGAAGGGGAGGATCAGAGAAGTCAGGATCAAACATCCTTTTTACACAATGCAGAGGAATAACCCATTAGGTTCCACAGTGAGCATAACAAGCATGCTTTACTACATATACAGACAGATTTTACTGTTGTGGGTTTAGTAACACTTTAAAAGTAATGTTTTCTGGCGATGTCAGCTCCCTGACAGAGGAGTTGGATGTCTCCTTGGTGGAAGACAGGCTGGGATTGAGCTTTTATATGGATTTAATTTTTGTGAAGACTCAGTCTGCATTGTTAGAATGCAAAAAATGTTATCTATGTCCATTTATTGCTGGAAACATTGAAAACCAGTACAACTGTATACTACAAAAACAAACAAAACATTCTACAACAATAAATATTTTCATTGGCTGTGTTGGGGAAACAAAATATCTATTTTGTGTTGTGAAAGCAGATGGGAGATGAAGTAATTCGGGAGGGTAGCCCTGGGGCTCGCACCCGGCACGTGTCTTAAAGGGACTTCTTCATTTTTGGACATTGGGAATGGGAAGAATTCCTCGTTTTTCATCATAGGGGATTACAGAAAAAGCAAATACTGTAATTTAAAGAAGAGTTCAAGCTGAAAAACATTTTGGGTGCAGTAGGAAGATCTGTTGTCTGTGCCCAATGAAATCCATCCAAAAGGGCAGCAGACAGTTGCAAAACACTTGTTTGTCAGGTAAGGGTTAAACATCTGTCAGTTCTTCTGTTTGTTTTTTAATGTGCATGTGTACCCCTGTCATGGTGACTAGGGATGAGCTCAAGTGTGGATCCTAGTCCAAAGCCCACCTGAGTGATCCCACCAGGAAGCTGTCCCCTGTACTAGGCAAATCATCCCTGCCCTGCAGGTGCGTGTATTCAAAGGGAATGCCTCGGCCATCTATGATTGGTCCAGCATAGTGACAGCTTCCCGGGAGACTAGGATCCAAACACGTCTGAGCTCATCCCCAATAGTGACACTCATTTCCCTAATTTCTGGTGTCACAAAAAAGTTTTGAACCCCCATTCACACTGATGCGTCTTGTCACACGATTTGACATTGTAAAAACGCATGACAAGTTGCACCCCATGATCAGCCATGGAACTGTTCTAATTGGTGCGACCCTGACTTTGTTGGAGTCACACCGATTTTGAAAGTAGTTCCTGCACTACTCTTTGCAATTTCAGGTGCAACTTGCACAGACATCTGTGCATGAAGTTGCACAGATGTCTATCAAGTCACACCAGAAGCCTCACTGACATACAACTTTGAAATCGTGCGACATTAACTGAAGTCGCACGATTTCAAAGTCGGATCCAGTGTGAACCCGGGCTTAAGGTCTGTACTGTGAATCTTTCTCTTTCTCCACTTAAAGTATATAAACCCTCACCTAGTAAAACAACACATTCAGTTTAAAATAGAAATGAAGAGATGCGTGTGATTCGTTTCGTTCTGAATCGAAATTCAGACTAAGCTTTAATTATTCGGGGATTCGGATGTATCAAAATTTCCGAATCACAATAGTAATGAATTTTAAAAAAATCCGAAATAAATAATGAAACAAATTACCCAAATTGAATTTAAAATGGAAACATGTTACAATAAATACAGTAAAAAAATAAAGTGAAATAGGATGATGATTCCTACTTAGGCTGCTGAATAGAATAGAACAGAACAGAATAGATTAGAATAGAATGGAATAGAATAGAATAAAATAGAATGCATATAGCAATCTTCTGAAATTCGACTTTCAAATTTCAAATCGGTTTGTAAATAACGCATATACAAAACAAATCAGAATATGCAATACAAATTCCAAAAACGAATCATTCTAACAGAACAAATATGGCGAAACAAAATTATTACCTTAACAAATGAATCTGAATTTTTCCGCCGTGCACATCTCTAGAAACAAACGGTAAAACATTTGTGAATAAATTTAAAATACATTTAAAATACCTTTTCCTCCTGTTTTATAAGTGATCACATACCCACTAAGCTCCTTATGAAGCTGAGTACAGAGAATTGTGAAAGTAGAAACATCAGTATACTGATCTTCCCAGTGAATGGTTGTACAGGCGAGGTGTGTCAGCAGAAGTCTGATCATTGGAGGGGAGCAGGCTGAGTTCCCATCACAGCTAGAGAACTGACCATGCTGTGCTCCCATGCCTAGTGTAGTCAATGTTTAATAGGAAAGCAGAGGGACTGGCAGGAACACAAAGGATTTTACACAAAGAAAAAAATACAAACAGAACAGGATCCTTTATCATACAAGTACATAGTACAGCAGGCAAATATCAGGAATATGAAAAGTCCCAGTCCACACTATAAGCTCGCATTTGAATTGCACAGGGACCATACCATATTCCTGAACAATTCACATGCAACATGCGATTTGAGCCCATTCATTTTTGGGCTCAAATCGCATCGCAGAGCACAGAAAACATGCAGGTACCTTTTTTATTGAGCTGCACTGGAATCAGATTACATGGTCATTTTGTACCATGCGATTCGGTGCAGGCAAATGCACTGCTTTTGTGACCTGTGTGTGGGGTGCTGTTAACTTTGCACTGACACCCGCAGCAGATTGCACAACACTGTGCGCTTGCAATGCGGTCACATCTGGTTGCCACTCAATCAGCACCCCAACGTTTTGTCTATTCCAAACAAATGAAACATGTTTGTTCTGCACTGTGCATGCAACCCAAGCCTAGTTTCATACATATGCAGTGCGGGAATGCAGTGATCCCTGTGTATTCCCCACACTGCACATATGTCAACCTAGGCTTAGGCTGCATTCAAGGGGTGGAACAAGAATGTTCTATCGGAAATAGACAAAACCTTGGGGCTCTGGTTGAGTGGCAACCATAGGTGACATTAGTGGTGGTGCCAACATTTTAGGGGTGATTACATGCATTCTTGTGCATTTACATGCGTTTGGTTGTGTTTCGTAAAAAAAAAAAAAAAAAAAAAAAAAGGCAACATGTTCTACTTTTGTTGACAGCACTGGAACGCACGGCATTGGTGTGATCTAGGACCATATTGGAATGTATAAAACTGTGCATGCATTTCTGATGCAGAGTAAAAGCGCACTGGACTGCATCTGGTGTGAACAACCCTAAGTACAGTGATAGACATAATCTTCCGGATGTTGCTCCAGCAGCTTTCCCACTGCACACTGAACACAGGAGGTCACTCACTCAGCACCACCTCCATTCAGAGAATACTTTGTATTTTTTTTATTTCAGTGTCCTGATTGGACAAAGTGCAGATCTCCACTTTGGCCAATCAAAGAACACCTTGTATCAAATACCAAAAAGTGTTACTATATTCATTATCTTTTTATAAAATGTGGAATATTTTCATATAATATATTTGTCAATGTCCTTCTCAGTCTAATACAATATAAATTATTTTGTGTTTACTTGTCAAGGTCCTGGCAAGTCTATTACTATGTCACACATACCACAGAAATGGACGCAAAGGGGGAGATTTACTAAAACTGGAGCACTCAGAATCTAGTGCAGCTGTGCATGGTAGCCAATCAGCTTCTAACTTCAACTTATTTAACCACATGCCGCCCAGCCACTGTATAAATACAGCGGCATGGCGTCACGGCTGGGCAAAAGCACGTTTTAAAACATGTGTTTTGAAAACAGGTAAGGGGCGCGCGATGCGCTCCGCCGCCCTACCTGTCCCGCCGATCACAGCCGAAGATGTCAGTCGCCAGGTCACAGCCGTTCGTTACCGGCTATGTCCTGGGGATCGGCGGCAATTGCTGACAGAGAGCACAACTGCAGTAGCTGTGCTTTCTGTCAGTTCCCTGACAGCTCCAGGACACGCTGATCGGGACAGAAGAGTTTCACTCTCCCGATCAGTGGTGTTCCCTGCAGTACACACCCTTACCCCCTAGTAAAACACTCCCCTCACACAGTTAACCCTTTCACTGAATAATAAACTTAACCCCTTCCTCCCCAGTACCATTAGTACAGTGTCAGTGTTTTTTTTTTGCACTGATCACTGTATTGGTGTCACTGGAGATGTCAGTGACCCCAAGTCAGCACCTCCCAATGTCAGAATGTCCGCCGCAGTCCCGCCATAAGTCACTGATCGCCGCCATAAGTCGCTGATCGCCGCCATAAGTCACTGATCGCCGCCATTATTAGTATAAAAAAATACTAAAAATCCCAGTATATTTCCCGCCATTTGTAAACACTATAACATTCACATAAACCAATTAATTTACACATATTGGGGTTTTTTTTTTTAGCAAAAACATGTCGCAGAATGCATTTTGGCAGAAATTTATGACTAAATTTGATTTTTAATTTTTTTTTTACTGGACATGTTTTATAGCAAAAAGTCCAAAATATTGTTTTTTTTTTCTCAAAATTGTCAGACTTTTTTTTTTTATAGCGCAAAAAATAAAAACCATACAGGCAATCAAATACCACCGAAAGAAAGATCAATTTGTGAGAAAAAAAAAGGATGTAAATTTTATTTATGTACCGTATTGCATGACCGCGCAATTGTCCGTTAAACTAGTGCAGCGCTGTATAGCAAAAAATTTAGTAAATTGCAGTATCTATACCATAATTTTTAGACGCTATAACTTTCACACAAAGCAATCAATATAAACTTATAAATACAATGTGAATGTGATATCAGATCAATAACCCCTTAAACCTACACTAATTCCAAATTGGAAAAAAACTTTCAACCCCTGAAAGTTTAAAATCAAATAAATTAGTCCAAAAGAGAATTTTCCCTCTTTTATCAAATAATCTACCTATATGTACAACAACAAAAGTTTCCCCATATAGTTCAATACGTGAACTAACAAAAAATCATAAAGTCCAGTGTCCCAATGATCAAAACTAAATCATAAAAGTCCAGTGTCTCGATAATCAAAATAGTAGAACCGAAAAAAAGGATGTGTATCTTGCAGCGTTGATTGTGTTCAGTGATTTATGTGAAAAAACCTCAAAAATAAAGAAACTCACAATAGTGCATTACCATAATATAATCAAGACAAGAAAAAAATAAATAAATATATATATATATATATATATATATATATATATATATATATATACGCTTACATGCACACACAAATGTGTATCATAAAGTTGTGCAACACTA